TTACGAATTTGTCATTCGTAAGCGAAGGTAATGCAATAAAAATTTTTGCTCTGCGCGCTTACTCTACTTTAACTCGTTCTACTCGTCGCGTCGCGTCGCATTGCGTTGCTGCGTTGCTATACTGACGTTGCCGCTGCCGTGGCCATTCGTTCGTGGCTTCTTTAACGTTCGGTTGGCGTAGAGTGTATAGGCAATTTGGTTATTCGGTTCGAGTGGAGAGTAATCACTATTAGAGACTGTTAGTTACATATATGAGTATGCTTGTACATGTACGTTCGATGATGTATTATGGCAATTATTTTGTTGTGTGTTTCTGTGCATGAGAAAATTGTTGTGTTGTGCTGCGTGGATTTTGCCGTCGCCAATAGGCGGCATTTGTCAAATGAGCGGTGTCAGCAACAGCAACTAACGAATGATAATCGGTTAGTGTTAATGCGGATTTTTATCTAATTTCGCTTTTCGAGAAAGCAATAACAAATACAAACAATCAAATCACGGTGGGTGTTTTTGTTTTTAAAAGTGCAAATTAATTAATTTGTAAAACTTGTTAAATGAAAAATAAATTGTGTGAAATCGAGAGTTCGAAAAACTTCAATAATCTTAAATTGCAAAAATGGATAAAAATACCCGTATTGATAAATTTATAAATAAAATATAAAAGAGTTTGGTTTAAAAGTACAAACAAATTTATAATGCGTAAAAAATGAAATACAAACCAATATCCTCCATATTATTTCGTGTCCTATAGTTTAACAAATGTATTTTAATATGGTTTTTAGGGTAAAATTATTTATAGAAAATATCTTAGATAAATTTGACTATCAAGCCGACTTAAGCCATACGTGTTTACTTAACTGGAATTATCCTCGTTTTAATAACTGTAATGAATTTTATTGATGCATGATTTCAGTTGAAAACTTTTTTCCAAACGATGGATAGCTAAAATCAAAAATATGTATTTTTATTTTTGATATGATCTCAAAAAAAAAAAAACCTTCTTAGGGAACTTTGACATTATATAAGTTAGACCTAATAAAAATTATATTTGCTTATGCCCGTATGTTTGTATGTAAATCAATCAAATTTAATATATTAGGTAACCACAAAAGAATTAAAAACAATGTAAATTGTTTCCAGCTAATGATTTTATGAATGAAAACATACTGATATCGAGTACTCCTCTGCTTTGACTCGGAAAACAACTTACGATTGTTAAAAATCTATCTCTTCGGAAGGGCAAATCGAAAGAAAAGCAAATCACTATCGGATTTGTCTTTCTTCTATTCTTGACCAGTATGTATACGGTTAGAAAAACAAAAGTCGGAAAATAGATTTGAAAAATAAATTCTTAAAAATTAAGTATTTAACTTTTAACTTTTAATACATTTTCGAATAATCGTTATTTGGTTTTAAAATCTTAGAAAAAAGGCCTTGAAAAATTTTAGAAAGATTTAAATTTGTTTATCTGTTGTTTAGGAGTATTAAAAAGCATAATTTTGGGATATACGCTTTCTATTAAGGGCTGAAATAATAAAAAGTGAAAAATACTTAAGAAAAATGTATTTTTCTTAAATTTTCAATAAACTAATGAAAATAAATCAATACTAAGTTAATAAACGTAATTACAAAACAAAGTAAACGTATTATTAATTTAAAGAAAAACTAATGAACAAATTTCACCTATTATAAATCAAAATTATTTAATTTCCTCACACCTTTTCTTGAAAACTCTAACTAAACTCCACGCATATAAATGTTAAGTCAACAAACCAATCGGCAACTTCAGTCAGTGACAAATCAAAGTCATGAACAGTGGAAAAACAACAACAAACAGCATACAACAAGAGTAATAATATTAATACGTAGCCAATACCAAGCTACAAGCCACCTATTATAAGCTCCAACGAAAATACCCTACGGGCTGAACGAACACATATACTCGTACAAACATACACTTACACAAACCGTATTCCAATTCCAATCGTAATTTTAACACTAAAAACAACCCCAAATTCGTAATATAACACTCTCATTACGCTCAACCCCAAGACCAATTTGTAGAAATAAAAATTGCTACCACAACTGTTTCCCCTCTTTAAACAAACAAACAATCAAACCAACCAGCAAATTTCTGATTCAAATTTCAATACGTTTCAATACCTCACATCGAATCGATTGAATCCGAAATGTATCGTTTTGTGATTACCACACGGCGCAAAAAGCAGTCACATTTTTCCCATTTCCGATGTAACTGACTGAATGACATTTGTGTCGGCTGCCGCGAATCCTATTGCTGGTTGCTGGTGGCGTCGCAGTCATTAACTCTGCTGCCAGCGACGTGCAGTCGACTATGTATACGTAGTTCTCTTCCTCATCCTCGTTGCTGTCATCGCGATGTCGTCAAAGTCATCGTCGCTATCGTCGTCGTCGTTGCTGTCGACATTCGCAGTTGTTTTGTGTATTTTTCTTCTATCAACTTTTTTTTGTGCCGTTTCTGTTCCTTCTGCAATTGCGATTGTATATGTAATATAATTTGTTTTTTGTCCCTGCTCTCTTATATCCGTTTGTATGTTCTGACTGTTGTACATATACTTGCATATTCAAATATATATGTATATACAATTCCACATTGCTATTTCATTTCTGCTGTCGTTATTGTTGTTTGTGGTTGTTTTTGCTACAGCTTTGATAACTCTGACTGTTTGCTGATTGTATTGTATATTTGGGCGGCGCGCTGCGAGTCTATTTACCAACAGTTATGTGAGTGAGTGAGTATTTCATTCGTATTCGGAATAGCAATCGTATTCGTCGTACTTAATTCACGGTGTATGTTTCTCTGAATGTATGCACTGCAATCACATTTGTACCCTCATACGTGCAGTGACACTCCGACGGTACGGTAGTAAAATAACAAATGCGGCAGTTGGTGATAACTCTCATTTCGTTGCGATTTTAATTCGATATAAGTGATTTTTTTCCGGAAATTAAAATGATACAAACTAACAACTGGAATTGAATGACAATAGTTAAATTGGATTTTTACTGTGTTTGTCAATATCTGAAGGTGAAATTAGTGAAGGGTATTTTAAACTCAGAAAAAAAATGATTAAAATAAAATAATATATAAATAAAAGATTAAACATTTTTCAATAAACTGGTTTTAAGTTAGAGTTGAAAGAAAAATATAAAATTAATAATAAAAGTTTAGTATATAATAAATTAACTACCGCGTAATTATAAATTAAAATACATATATTTGTATATCAAGTGAAAACCCATCTAATTAATTTTAATATAATATATTTTTTTTAATAAGACATATCTATATAAAAAATACACGTACTCAATATCTGCCATTTTTGGCATGAATTTCAACAAAAATATAAAAGATGCAATTTTCATTTAAACAATGTATAGGTGTGTTATTTTAATTAATATCATACGCACATACATACGTGTATATAGAAGTTATAAAATATAAAATGCTCATTGTGATTGTGAACTGTGGATATAATGTGCAACAGGAAGATTTTAAATAGATGAAAAAATTAAATACAAATTTTCCGCTGATAAGATTTTTTTATTCATCTTTTTATATATTTTTTCTGTGATATTGACAAATTGATTTAAAATTTGAAAGCTCTTTTCTGTGAATCAAATTAGCTTGTAGACAAAAAAAGCTTTGCACAGGCCTAAATTAAAAAAAAAAATATCCTGACCACAAGATGTACGGAAAATTTTTTTTTTCATCAAAATCGAATAAATTTTATAACTGCTATAGACAAAGGAAAGATAGATAAATGAAAAATTTGTTATATAATTTTTCAAGAATCTGGCCTTTCAGCACTAATAGTAATATTTATTTATATATCAGGTTTTGAGCCGGCTTTCTGATAGCTTGTAGTCGCAATGTAATTTTCTTCGTCTGTTCTGCTGTTTCAGAGTGATTCAAACTCAGTTTTATCGCATGTTAGATGTTTTTACAACCCTCTCCATGAGCTCCAAGATGAATGCCGATTTTCCAACAACTATTTGCGGCTCTCACCTCTGACATCAGAACCACTACTTGACCCATTATTGGCTCAAAAGTGCAAGTTTAGTTAATGATCAATTTCACTTTAAACAAAAAATTTCTGAAAAATTTGTAAATGTTATCGTAAAAACAGTTATCAAAATAAATATTTATTATTTCCTTTTACCCGACACGAAATGCTGTCGTTAATGTTAAACCATTAACAGGTAATGTAATTCGTTAACAGATAATGTTAAACGTTAAAATTGAGGTGTGCTGTTAATAACAAACCAGCCCGTCATTTCAAAACTAACAAAGAGTTTGTGCGGCTTAAATATTAAGAATTCCATTTCGACTCCATCACATGGCGAAAGGAAAAAAATTATTTCGTTAGGCTTAATTAATATTAATATAACAAAATGGCGTGGTTTCGCTAGTTCTCAAATCTTATATTATTTCTTCATCTTTTATTTCTCTCGTGGCGAAACTCTGAAACTTGGATATTTATTCTAGCTACGAGCATTTTTTTAATATTCGTGAAGATTTTCCCAACAAAAAATATAATATATAAATATGTATGTATGTATGTATATGCAGTTAAGTATACTCCTGAATTTCGGTGTTTTTTTTTTTAAATTGCACATTGATGGATAAAAACACAGCAAGAAATTGCCTTACTGAGTTCTGATTTGTATTCTTTTTTTACTAAACCATTAATTTTTTTCATAAAAAAAATGCATCTTTTATATTTTTGAACAAACAAAATTTGAAAATAATACTTCAACCTAATAGCAAATTAATCAATTTGAATTTTAACAGTGTACTTATGCGAACCATCGTTAAAATTTCATAAAAATAAACAAATTCGCAAAAATAAATTTGTGTGTAGTGAAGTGATGATCAAAAACAAAAAAAAAAAAATCATTTGCTAAAAAATATCGTTGAAATACAAATAAAAGCGATATAAAAACTAGTTCAGAAAAAAATAAAATAAATAAAACTAAATTCAAATAAACGGTAGAAATAAAAGAAAAAACAAATACCAAAACAAATTGCAATCAGTATTGCATGTGACAAAGCATGGATTCTAACGCCACCGATGCACAATCGATCACAAGTGAACATAGTGTTGCCTCCTCAAGCTCGTCGTCCGCGCTGCATGGCGCCGTGTTAGCGGCTGTTAAGCGCGAACGTTCACCAACACCGGTTTCCAACAGCAAAGCCATGAACACCATTTCGGTCGCTACCAATCTAACGAACAATAATCATAATATTAATAATAACAATAACAACAACAATAATAATAACAACAATAATCACAGTCCACGTCACAACAAACTGAGTCCCAGTTATCATCTCGGTAATAATAACAATAACAATAGCATATTGTTGGCGCACAGCATGAATCCGACAGCGCTGTTGATGCATCATCAGCACCAACAGCAACAACAGCATCAACAACATCAGCAGCAACAACAGCAACATCAGCAGCATCAACAAAATGGTGCACGTGATGGCAATAGCAGTCGGGGCGGCGGCGGCGGTGGCGGCGGTATTGGACCCGGCGGCAGTGGCAACGGCTCACTAAGCGGTAGCATAGGTGATGATCGTCCATCGAATGGACGTCTCTCGCATACCGGTCGCGGTTCTAGTTGCTCACCAGCTAGTTCACCAACACGCCATCCCAACGCCGTTAGTCCAGTGACATCGCTCAATCATACGATGATGCAACAAATGCAACAACATCATCAACTTAGTCCACCGCCACATGTGACGGGTGTGCCTACACCGAATGGTCTGCCCGCTGGTTTACCGCCACGTATGCCACACGGTTTGCCGCCACATTCACTGGGCTTGCTCAATTCACTGCAAATGATGCATCATGCCTCGCCGCTGGAATTGATGGCAGCTGCACATCATCATGTGCCGCCGCGCTCCTACAATAGTCCGCCACCCATATCCACATCGGATCCCAGCGCTAACGAATGCAAGCTGGTAGAGTATCGTGGTCAAAAGGTGGCCGCCTTCATTATAAGCGGTGATACAATGCTCTGTTTGCCGCAAGCGTTTGAATTATTTCTCAAACATTTGGTCGGCGGTCTGCATACTGTGTATACGAAACTGAAGCGTTTAGATATTGTACCGCTGGTGTGTAATGTGGAGCAGGTGCGCATATTACGCGGTCTGGGCGCCATACAGCCGGGTGTCAATCGGTGTAAGCTGCTCGCCTGCAAGGACTTCGATGTACTCTACAGGGACTGCACAACTGCCAGGTAGGTGGAAGTAGAAAGAGGATTTAGCAAAAACTATTCAACTGAATCATTCAATAATATTTCAATGAGATACTTTTAATTTGCTGTCAAAGAGGTCTGATTCAAGGAGAGCTTTCTCTGTTAGATTGATAGCTTGACTCCGCAAGCATCATAAGCCTGAACACTACAGGCGTTCTCAGACACCTTTTTTTTGTTTTTTCTTTCGAAGAATTTGTTGTTGGAATTTCATAGGTTTTTCTGTAAGGTTCACTTTATTGTTTTACTGAGAGGTCAGCCTCATAAAGTTAATTCATTGAGTTCTAACTATGGGAGATCATGAGCTGAGCTAAATGTGACTGGTAAATACCTCTAAGTTCCAAGTGGTCTTCTCCAGAATTTAAACAGTTGCTTACGGTGCAATATTGTTCAAAAGAACGTGCGGGCTACCTGCCTTTAAACAAACATTGTGATACGTCTCTCTACCGAGGTCTAAAACCCATGAAAGATTAGTAAACTCACGAGGAACCGAAATACGGCCAAAAAAGGAGTAGAAAAGCTTTGTTTTATGGGTACTATGATCCCATATTGTATACTGGCTATACAAAGCGGTAGAGTTGCTGCCTGGTGGTCAGCATTCGATGAGTTACTTACCAGAGCGAGCTGCACAAAATTTAGGGGGCGAACTCAATAGTCATTACATACGAAAGCGCTTGAGATTTCCCATAATATTCTCCCTTCAGACCTGTATGGAAAATTTTATCCGAGCTTCAACGGGATAAGGCAACTCAACCCTAGAAAAAGCGCGGTACATGACAAGTCCAAATATGAAACACTACACCGTTCTCGGAACAGCTGGATTACACCATTTCCAATTGATATTTTTGCAAGAAGAATGAAAAAAGTAACAGTTTTGAATCAAAGATCTGGGTCCGACGGCTGGAAAACTCGTAGACAGGCATGGCTGCGATGTTAACTCGGTAAGCTCTGCACATAATCAGGACTTTGCCCGCAAAGTATCTGGCTTCACCAGTAGGTTAACAGCAGATGGCTGGGTGAAACCACTTGTAATGTAAACAGACGGATCTGGCTGTAGATCTGGCTATAGGTCGAAACACAACAAAGTCTATACTCCTTCGAAATAGGACCTCCTCAAGCATAGCAACCATCGTAGTAACCGGACAGTGTCGTACTGTCAGGTGGTATAAGCATGGGTTTCTTCTCTCTGCCTTCAGTACTGTAATTTTAACTTCGACTGCCTTGTTTTAAACATCTAGGGAAGGGAACTTTTCATAGGCAAAGGTATCAAAGGTATCATCAAAGGCTAGCAGGTCGAAGAACGCTTAACCAACTAATCACGGGGGATTGTAAAAGTGTAACGTCTCAGTCAGAACGTGAAAATTTGAAAGGGTAGTGTTTAAAACTTTGATCTCTCTTATTGTGTGCTCAATGTGCTTTCATAAGGAAAGTCTTGTGTAAACTCTTTCAATTTCTCCTGCAACGAAATCAATTGAAATTAGGCCAGTAGCAATAGTAGCAATCGCAAAGAAATCACTTTTGTCAGCTAAACCGATACACAGTTATCTTCCCACAATTCTAATCTTCAGAATGTTTAAAGAGCTGTCTTCACGACAATTTCAAATTTATTTATTTTTAATTGTAGGGTTAATTATGCGATTTCATAGCTGAAAATTTGTTGGATTCATCACATGATGAAGTTGTTCGGTTTCGATGATTTACAGTACCATGAAAATACACAATTTTTTGATCTTCTATGCATTTTTGACCGATTATTGACCTAAAAATTAAGCAAAATTTTCTAATTGTGGTCGCTCCTCGGCAGGGAATGGCAACCCCTCCGAGTGTATTTCTGACATAAAATAAAAGATCCTCATAACAATCCACGGACCATTCGAAGGCTGCTTAGTATAAACTATAGGTCCCTCCATTTGTTGTAAAAACAGCAAGAGGCACAACACAAGTTGGAGTAGGAGCTCGGCCATTCTTTTCTCACTTCGGTACTTACTTTGGACTAAAGGTAATAGACCCCTTCATGTGCATATGTACACGAAAGATATAAAAACAAGCTTTAAAATATCTATTACCTTCCTAGTATAGCTTAACTAAAAACCGATTTTCTTGATTTCATAATAATTTTTTTTTTTTAATTTTTCTAAAAACTCAAGGAAATATTTTTAGAATTTGCTCAGCAGTGTAAACCATTTAAAATTGACAAAAATTTTCAAATTTAAATTTTACGTAACTAAATCGCCTTGTGAAAGGAGGGACTATAAATATAGATCACGACTCACTATCCATACTTAGAAAACAAAAGTTTTGTACTTTGCGCTAAAATAAGTTGACGAGTTCTAAGTACTAACTGCCTATGCTGGAAAATAGGTATTGGCAAGTTTTCAACCGGAAAAACAGTTGACAGCGCACGCATGCCGGTTACATGGACATATGTACAATCAAGAATAACAGTACTAAAATTGTAATACAAATTCATATAAAGAAGAATAATAATAATAACAATAATAATAAGGGCAGTGAATAGCGAATGGAAATTGGTAGAACAGTTTTTGAAGAGTTCAGACTCAAGCTAGGACGTTTAGTTCAAAATATATGTGTATGAGTGTATATGTATTGTATGTATGTGTAGCGCAAATACCTTTGAATACAAGAACACACACAATCATACAAAAATAATGCCTATTTCTATAAATAACATTCATTCTATTGCTTTGATTGCGCACACAAAAAGTCTAAAGAATAATAAATACACAATTATATGTCTCTACATACATATGTAAGTATGTTTGTATGCATGTATATATTTATATGGCTAAGCATGCGAGTGCAGTGAAGAATACTCGTACTTCGCATGCCATAGCAAATTCGTTTGCATTGCGTATTTCCGTTGAATGTCATCGCGAACTCGGTGTCCAACGAAGCGATCGAAAAACTTTTATGATTACCTGGCAAATAAGCGTATGTATGTATGTATGTATAATATATATAGCAGCGTCATAAGTGAGCATGTATGTATGTATGCATGCAATGCATTGTTGGTTGGCTGACAAGTCGCGCTTACTGGCAGTACAGACATCCTTATATATATACATAAGTACATACATATGTAGGTATGCCTGGAGCGAATAAATCTCGCCTATATTAGGGCGTGTTTGTAAGGTAAATGTGGCGTCTATACCTTCATCTCCATAGTAGGTACGCTTTTATGTATATGTTTGTGTATGTATATATGTATATATGTAATGAGTCTTATACCTACGCTCTTGTCGGCAACTGCATACTTTGACATTTGGACTCTTGCAATTGGTTTGCATTTGCCATTTGAATTTATTTTACATACTTACACGTATAATACTTGCCTTCGTGTGCGTGTTTGTGTTTGTGTTAAAAATAGCAGCAAAAGTATAAAAAAAATAAAAATAAAAATAATTATAATTAAAGTTGTTTGACTCTACATATGTACATATGTATGTATGTATGTATGTATGTATGTACGTTACTCTACTCTATTTATTTACTTATTTTGATTTGCTTGTCGCACGCAATTGTGTAAGCACCACGCCCATTTTTTCTCAACTAAACTAAGAGCTCTGCGTTCAATTGAGTTGCACTCAACTGCCTGGCAAACGTTTGTTTGTTGTTTTATTTTCTTTCTTTTGCGTGTGTTGGTTATTTGTTAGTTTTTATTGATTCTCGTTTTAATTTTGTAACATAACGGAAACAGGAAATGAGAAAATTTTCTTATTCAGTTCATGCGTTTTTTTTTACATGCATACATACATACACCTAGCTTGCGAATATTTACATATAATACAAATGCATTGATTGAATGCGCATTTTTCGTATTGGGGCAATAGAAAATATTAGAATGCTTGCGTTTCTAGTAGAAGACTCAAGCGGTTGATATGAGACTAAATACAATATCTGGAGGATATAAAAATTCTTCTAAAATGCGTAATGAAAATTTTTGGATTTGGTTTAGAAGTTTAAGTTAATACAGAAAGGTTCCTTTTCGAAAAGCCAGATTTCAATGTGGTCTGTTTAGCTCCTTGCTGCACAATTTTAAATTTTATTTTAGAAATTAACGAAATTCGCTTCTCATAAACATTAATGCATCATACATATTATAGGTGTAGCTCCAGAACCATCTCAAAATTTTTTTTTTATTCATTTTTTTTTGACAATGTTGAACTCTATGAAAGATTTCATTAACCAATATTTGTCACTTATTTGTGAACAAGTTTTGAGTATATTAGCCAAAGGACGATTGGATTAAAATGATTAAACTGTTTGTGACGTAAAGCGTTGTAAAGAGTTTGAATTAAATTTGACTTTATATAAAAAACGAATAAAATCGTTACTCCCTTTGTTATGGAAAAAAACGATTGAAATTTGGTTTTAAAGTCAACCCAAAAATACTTTCCAATAGAAAACATTCAAATATAACCCCACTTTTTCAGACTTTTGATTTTTATTCAAAAACAATTCAAAATTTTTTTTTGAGAGTTTTCTTTAGATAGTTATTTTTTTTACAATCCCAAATTTAAATTATTTGGGTTATATCAGAATATTATTTTGTAATTTCTATAAAATCTTAAATGAACGCAGAAATCAGTTTTTTATTGCCTACATATGTATGTATGTATTTAAAGAATTTTATTCAAAATTTTGTTTATTTGTTTAAAAAATTATGGTCGGGATGGCTGCTGCTTATATAAAAATTATTGGATTTAGTTGGATTCGGTAATTTCAATCAATATCTTCGAAATAGTCTATGATTGAGAAAGAAAACATTCTGCGTTTGAAGGGATATATCCTTGCACGTATTGGCAATCGTATGAAATAATATTACGTGATCGTAAAGACGGAATTTGATATATACGGCACGTAATCCACTTTCTATTCGTAAGTGTTTGGTTCGGAATTTCTAATCAAAACAAATATGAAGTTGTAAAAATTTAATAAAAAAAAAATTAATTAATTTAGCGAAA